CATCTGGTATCATTTTCCTTCTGCCGTCTTCTAGGGTGAATCAGCTAGAAACGAATTCTTTCCAGCTTTTATATGTCTGAAAAAGTTTTTATTTTTTCTTTATTTTATTATCATTATTACTATTTTTTGGCGGCTGGCCAGTAAGGGTATCCAAACCCTTCATCTTGGTGTTATCAGCACCACACTCTGCGTGAGCTGACCAGCCAGCCTTATTTTTCCATTATTTTTGAAAGATATTTTTGCTGGGTAAAAATTCTCAGTTAACAGATATTCTTTCATTACTTCAAACAACTGCTACCAAGCCATGATGTGTTTTCACACTCATGAGTTAAGAGTAATCATGAAATTTCTTTTCTGTAATGTCCTTGTTGCATCTTAGAATCAAGACTATCGCTGATGTTACAAAACAAGCTGAGGAGGCTTTCTCTTCTATTCTCTGGCATCTTGGCACTTTCTCTTAAATGATTGGTAGAAATTAGCAGGGAAGCTATCCGAGCCTGGTGGCTGCATCATGAAAATATCTTGATTTGGAGGTTCCATTTAATAGTTTTAAGACACTTTGGGTTTTTTTTGTTTTTGTTTTTGCCTATTGTAAGTTGGATTTTTCTATGAATTTGTCTATTTTACCAAATTTCAAATTTATAAACATGAAGTTATTCCTAATATTATTCTTTTAAATCCTTTTTCATTTCGGATATTGATAGTTTGTGCCTTCTCTTTCTTGATCAGCATCACCCAAATTTTGACATTATTAATCTCTTGAAAGAATAAATTTTTGGCTTTGTTCTTCCACATCATACCTTTTTTGTTTTGTTAATTTCTCTTCCTGTTTATTTCCTTCTACTTATTTAGATGTAACTGCTTTTCTTTATCAAACTTGTGATGGATGCACGGCTTAGTCACAGCCTTTTTGATATTATATCCATATCATCAGGATTATAAATTAACCTTTAAGCACTGCTGTGGCTGTATCTCACAAGAATTGCTATGTTGTAACGTTAGTATCAGCCAGTTCATAAGATTTTCCATCTTGCATTGTTGCTTCTTCTTTGATCCATGGGTTATTTTAGAAGTGTATTTCTTAATTTTCAGACATATTTCTAATTATGTTATCTTCCGAGTTTCTAGCTTAATTACATTACAGTGAAAAATATATACACCTTGGATCATTTTGATCCTTTGAAATTTGTTGAGACTTGTTATGGCCCAGTGTATGATCGATTTATTGTGTTTTGTATGTGCCTGAGAAGAATGTGCATCCTGTGTTGTTTGGTTTTGTGTTGTTGACCAAGTGCTCACTATTGCCTGTTACCTACCCACTGACTTGAGTTGACCAAGCTTTAGTCAGGATTCTCTCCCTGCCTTAGGCCCCTAAACTTTGGCATGTCCCTAAGCTTAAACAAGCACTAAGATGTAGACATGCTCCCGTAACAGCTCATTCCAAGAACCTGGTGAGCAACGAAATAAACAGTCCTGTTAAACCATGTTGATTACGCTGCCTGCTCTCCCCTCTGCCGGCCCTGCTTACCTCTCCGTGGAAGCAAAGCCCTTTTTTGATTTGGAGATGCTTGCAGACCCTGAGGTTGGAGTGCTCTCTGTATTGCAGCAGGCTTTTCAAATAGCCTCTCAAGTCTGGATTTGTTTTTATTTAAAATATACAAGCATTAGGTCAATATGTTCTTCTTCTTAGGAAAACTACATTCCGAATTGTTCTGTCTTTTCCTGTTTGTTTGGGTTAGTCAAGTGAAGCAGCAGAAACGGAAAAGGAACAAGGAAATCTGCACCTGGTTGTGACTGATTAGTTGTTGTGAACACAACTACACTTGGACTGGCCTCCTGTTTCTTGGAGAGCTATTTTAAATCTAACACTTTGGAAGTGGATTTGTCTTTCTGGTTTTTAGTTCTGTTAGTTTGATTTATATTCGTCTTAAATTCTGAGACCATATTAGGTGAATACTAATTTAGAAAATTTTGCCAATAGATTTAATATCATCATTAGCATTGAATGTGTTTTTCTCTAGCAATGCTCTTTGCCTTAAAATCTTTTATCTGATATTAACTGTTCTTTGCCTTAAAATCTATTGTTTGATATCAAATAACTATACCAGATTTTTGGTTTGTGTGTACATGGTAAATGTTTTATCCTCTTACTTGCGAATTTTTGGTATCTACATTTTGGACTTCTCCTGGAAATACCACATAATTTCATTCTCCTTTTGAGATAACAATCTTTGTTTCAGCTGGAGCATTTATTCTCTTATATTACTATTTTTTTTAGTTTAAAACTATCATCTATGTGCTAGATATTTGTACCTGTGTTGTAGCAAGTATTTTTTATTGTTCCATTTTTCCTTGTAGTTTTAGAAATTGTATACGCTTCATTCTAGATTTGATATTACCCTAGAAATTTAGTAAATTACTTAGCATCCTGGACAGAGTACAGCTGTTAAACAGTGTATGTCTGGCGAGTCCACTACCTGGAATACCTCGTCTGTTTTCTGTTGTTTGTGCTGCTTATTTATGTTCTTGTCTCCTCGTGTGCCTGGTTATCACTGTACAATGTACGCTGCTTGAAAGGCTTTTGTAGAAAAAACCTAAGGGCTCAACTGATAATCACCAAATGAGCTTTTCATCAGTTGACCACATCTTATTTAAACTGTTTCCAAACACATCAAGCCTAAGTGCAGGCTCCCACTTATGCAGAGGTGAAAACTACCAGAAATTAACTAAGCCTGACTGGGGCTTAGAGTCTGCAGATGTGGCTGGAGAGATAAACAGAGGTCAGATCATGAAAACATCAGACTTTCCTGAGAGCTGCAACTGGGGTTTACCTTGGTGTGTCTTCCCACTAAGTGCTTGGAGGCCGACAGCTGTAGCAGTGTTAAGTCACTTTGGTATCCTCAGTGCTCCCAGAAGCATGTATCCACATGAAGCATAAAGCAAACATCTTAAGAATAAAAGATTGCTGAAGGGCCGGCCCGGTGGCGCACTTGGTAGAGTGTGGCGCTTGGGAGCACAGCGGCGCTCCCGCCGAGGGTTCGGATCCCATATAGAGACTGGTCCGCTCACTGGTTGAGCGCGGTGTGGGCGTGACATTGAGGGTTGCGATCCCGTTGCCGGTCACGAAAAAAGACAAAAAGGAAAAAAAAACAAAAGATTGCTGAAAATAAGTTTCTCTCGTCTGTCCATTTTTACTTATCCCTGAATCAATACCACACTGTCTTAATTACTACATAACCTTATAAAAAGTGTTGATATCTGACAGAGCAAATCCTTTCATCGTTTCCTCTTCTTCTGCTTCTGATTCTTCCTCTTGGCCCTTTGCATTTCCATATATTTTTTAGAATCATCTTTTTTTCTTTCCTTTTTGTCTTTTTTCATGACCGGCAACGGATCGCAACCCTCAGTGTCGCGCCCGCACCGGACCGGGACCGGCAACGGGATCGCAACCCTCGGTGTTGCCCCTGCACCCCGCTCAGCCAGTGAGCGGCCGGTCTGTATGTGGGATCCGAACCCTCGGTGGGAGCGCCACCGCGCTTCCCAAGCGGCGCACTGCAGGAGTGCGCCACCGGGCCGGCCCCTAGAATCATCTTTATCAAATTATTATGACATAAGGAAAAAGAGAGCTGGCTGGGATTAGAC